TGCAATGACTTTAATAAAATCATCTTTCAAAAGTTGCTGCTATGAATATTTTTAGTTACGAAATTCTATCCTTGTTTAGCCTACCTTGCCTTCAGTGACTTAATGTGATGCAGTTGATGTTTTGACAATCTAACATTCCAAAATCCATATATATGTGTGTGTGTATATATATGTATATATATACACATATACATATATATACATACATATATATATAATCTCAGAATAGTATACTAATTTTTTTACAGGTGCTGTTAAAAGAAAGGAAATGAAAGAAAGCATGCTTTTCCCTCAAAAAGGAAAACTACTAATAAAAAAGAATTGTATTGCTACTGTGTCGGTCTCTGTTGGTTTTTGTTTATCTTAGTTAACTTTTCTCCTGCTGTGATTAGCACCGTGACCAAGGCTGCTTAGACATGGCAGCATTTGGCTCATGATTTCATAGAGTCGAGTCTGATGGCAAGACAAAGGTATGGCATAGGAACAGCTGAGCTCACATCCTGATCTACAGCAGGAGGCTGAGAGAAGCACACCCCAGGGACCCTCAAAGACCACCCATTGTGACACAAATCTAACAAGACCACATCTCCCAGTCCTTGCCAAAACAGTCAAGCAGCTGGGGACCACACATTCAAATATGAGCCTATGGGAGTCATTCTTATTCAGACCACCATGTTGTTCATCATGTGCTGTGTTTTAAGGGTGATGAGTGTTATTTGTATTACTTTGAATTTTCAAAAAAAAAAAAATTGCCGAAGTTACAGCATTGCAAATTCTGGCTGGCTGGATTTACTGAACCATTCTGAGTAGCTGTTTCATTTGAAACTACTTAGATAGTTCCTACTTCCCAGGTTGGGGGGAGAATTTGAGCTTCTGTGGAGTGCCTGGTGCAGAGTTAGACTAAGAAAAAAAAATGGAAGTTGCCATCTTACTCTTCAGAAGCATTTTACAGTGTTGGTGTGATGCTGATGAGGTAAGGTGGACAGACTTCTTCCTCTGGTTTTGAATACAGCCTTCTTATCTGGAGATGGGAGTAGGATTTTCCCCCCTCTGTTGGTTCCCTTCATTCCTCTGAATAGTTCCCTTTTCTGTTTATACACATTCCACACATCCGTAGTTTCATGTCCTACATACGTATGCCAGATACAAATGCACATAATTTTAAAATCTAAATGACATGTTTAGAGATAAAATGTCTTTCTAGTTCTACCTGCCTTTGCTTAGCATGACTTCCATTTTCCTGCAGCTGTCACTGTCTCTCTGTAGCTGCCTATTTTCTGTTGTGTGTATGCCATGAGTGTTTATGAAGTTAGGAGCCCCAACACTGCACAAGTACTATTCCACTTGTAACTTCTTGACGAATTGTTCACTTTATTGGTAAGTTTATGTCTTCTGATTTTGTCTGAAGTCTGTGTTACCATATACCATAGCTGCTACCCAGCTCATATTGAGCTTCCATTCACTTGCTAGGTCGTCTTCTAGTCTTTAGGATGTCTTTTACCCATCAGCTGTATTCCTGGGAGACAGTGGAGAGCTGGACTTAGTTTTTCACCCTGTCAGCCAGTCTGTTATTGGTGAGTTGAAGATGCATGTAGTGTAGCTAGAGTTTTCCTGCCTGACCCACGGTCAGGACAAATCTCTCTCACCCGCCAGTCCTGCAGCTGCTCTGACCCAACCAAGTAAACACACAGCGACTTATATTGCTTACAAACTGTATGGCCATGGCAGGCTTACTGCTAACTGTTCTTATATCTTAAATTAACCCATTTCTATTAGTCTAAAAGTTGCCACGTGACTCGTGGCTTACCAATGCCTTACAACTCACTTTTCATGGCAGCAGCTGGCAGCGTCTCCCCCCTCAGCCTTCCACCTCCCAGCATTCTCCTCTCTGCTTGTCCCGCCTATACTTCCTGCCTGGCTACTGGTCCATCAGTGTTTTATTTATCAACCAATCAGAGCAACACATTTAACATACAGAACATCCCACAGTACTTCCCCTTTTCTGTTTTTCAAAAAGGAAGCTTTTAACTTTCACATAGTAAAATTACAGATAGCAAAACAATTATCAAGCAAGAATTACAGTTACAATATTAAAGAAGATATCCTATCTTATATTTGTGAGTCTAAGGCTTTATATCTAACTTAACTTTTATCATAACTGAAGAAATTATAACTATCTAGTCTTCAACTACATCAAAGACCCCAGAAGGGTATACTATTACCTGAGAAATGGGAGAAGTATGCAAGCAACTTTTGGGAGTCTTGCAGGGTAGACAGAGACAGCTGGCAGTCTGGACAGTCACCTAATGTTCCTTAGTAAAGTTGGGGCATCTGTCTTCAGCCCACAGGCCTAGAGTCTCTCAATCATTTCTCTCTGTGTCCTTTAGAAGAACCTGAAGAACCATTTCGTCAAGCAAAGTTCAGTGGTTGCCTTTCTATGGGTCCTGTATGTTCAGTTGATCAAGCAGTCCAGGCAAGAACAGTTTCTTGCCCAAATGGCTATTTTTGCCAAGGTGAAGATAAACTCCATATGGAGTGTCTTCGATGCCCATCCTCCTCTCTGAAGTAAATCCAGTGCTGCCAGGAGCAGACATGTCTCACTGTCCAGAAAGTCTAAATTTTTAAAACATTTTAAATGCCATTTTCTGTAGATCTTTAAAGTATTTGAAGATTACCTATCTGAAATATATCTATGTATACCTAAAAAACTTAACTAACATGTTACAAGTTTGACTGTCATAGAAGACTAATTATTAATCTATTTCTTAATTATCCATTACAATCCAAATGAGTTATATAAACATAATACCTTAAACAAGAGTAAAAATATACATCCAGTATAACAAAATTAACTTTAAATTTGTATCAATAAACTAAAATCTACAGCAATGTAAACATTTCTAATCAAGTTGCTCTTTAAAAGTAGGTTCATTAATCTACCCTTTCATCCTATTATATCTATATCATATCCCCTTTTCTTCTTTAGCAAGAGATTGTATTTATAATCAACCTGATTTAAATAAATTTTTTTTTCTGTCCCACACCAGAGGGCTCTTTTGATATGGGACAAAAGAATCTTTCAACTTTTTTTTTTTTTTAAGGAATATGACTGGGTTTAGAGAAGGAGTGAGCCAATTTCATCTCCAAAGCCAGCTTAGTATATTTGGGAATTTGGTCGTAGCTTCTCTTACTACTTCCTGTTGGAGGGGGGCGCTGTATCTTATGGGAACACAAAGAAAATTTTAGGATTATGGAGTAGTACGTGAGGGTGTATCGTCTGAGCCAGTTGCCTTGAAACTGTTTTGGATGTTGGATCATCTGGGCCATGGTGTCATCAGAGACCTTTCAGGGGGTCTTGACTGGTCAAACCTGATGTATCTTAATCTGGAACAAATCCATAGCCTCTGTCTTTCTGTGGAAACAAAAGCAGAGCCTCCTTTCCAAAGCAACATATCCTTACATCCAAATTTTGAAGTCAAGGTACCTTTAAAATATACATTTTGGCTTAACTCAACAGCTTTTTATTGAAATACGTTTACTATGTTTTAAGATTTTGTGGGTGGTTTTTCTGCTTGGTTAAACTATTGTTGATCTTTTTTTTCATTTCATTTTAGGGTTTTCTTGGTTTAATGTGTTGGATATAATCGATTACTTCCTAGCTCTACTTTACCTATGACTCTCAAGAAATTTATTTGTTCCTGTGTTCTCACAATTGAAACTGTCTTCTGTGTGTGGTATTCCTTTAAATCTCTTATGACTGTGCCCATAGACATGTAGTCTGGGCTTGTGGTTAAATGTCCTTATTTCTCCATCAACTTTAAAAGATAGCTTTACTGGACACAGTACTATTGGTTTGCTTTCAGACCTTGGAGTGTATCATTACATGCTTTTCTGTCATTTAGGTTGCTGGCAGTAGATCCCACAGTATTCTGATGTTTTCTGCCATTGTAGGGGAGTTGGCATTTCCCTCTTACAGTTTTTAATGTTGTTTCTTCACTTTTTATTTTTGATATCTCTTTTGTAATGTGTCATGGAGAAATTCTTTGCATATTTCCTTTTTTTTTTTTTTTTTTTTTTTTTTTTTTTGGTTTTTCGAGACAGGGTTTCTCTGTGTAGCTTTGCATCTTTCCTGGATCTTGCTCTGTAGACCAGGCTGACCTTGAACTCACAAAGATCCACCTGCCTCTGCCTCCCAAGTGTTGGGATTAAAGGTGTGCACCACCACTGCCCGGCTGCATATTTCTTTTACTACCTGTGTTTGAATGTCTATTTCTCAGGATTTGTTAAAAAAAATTTTTTTTCTACAATTCCATTGAATGGATTTTCCATCCTTTGAATGTTTATTGCCTCCTTCTAACATCATTCTTAGGCTTGAGGCTTGGTCTCTGCTTGGGCATTGTAGTCATGCTCACTTAGTATATTTTTTTCTTGCTGATTTTTGGATATCTATTTTATCGACCTTATTCTCTATCCTTGATACTTCAGCTGGCTGAATCTTCATTGTGGTGGACCACAGATGCTTCCTAGTGAGAACTTACTCAGGGTCAGAGAATCAGATCTTGCTTTACCCAGCAGACCTGCATAATGGGATGATTTGACCACAGGCGTGGTTACCAGGTGTTTGGAAGCGTCTACACTTAGCTGTACAGTGTGGTTTGATCTTGCAAGAAGGAGGTCTTTTGCCTTTCCCCTTGGCATATTATAAAAAGCCCTTTTGAATAAAGCTCCAGGCAGCTGGGTATTGACCCAGGGCTCTCCTGAAGCTATCCTGTGTCTGCCTTTCTCCTCATCGTCTAGCTCTATCTTTCTACCTATTATTTCCTCATTCCTCTCTCTTCCACCCAAGAACCCTTTGAAAGGTGGGAGCGGGTTGGAGCTGGACTCCAGCAGACTCCTGCACTTAATGATGCTTTCTACTTAAATTATTAATTGAGGGTCTCATCTTAATATATCTATTTTTAAATTTAAAATTCTCAGACCCTGCTGAAATTTTCTTTCATATTGCTGACTTTCCTCTCCAGGGCCTGGACTGAATACATGTGCTTTATTGTGTCCTTTTTCAGGTTATTGCTCGTTTTCACCGATGACCTTTTAAAGTCCTTATCTGGCATTTTACCTATTTCAGTCTTTGAGTTTAGTAGTCTTGCTGCCTTTATTTTTTTCATGTTCCTTGCACAATTTATTATTATATTGCAGTTTATACTGCTGTTGACTTGGATCTCTTATCCAGTTTTAAATTAATTGAGATTAATTTAAGCAAACACTTTAAACTTAATAAGAACAATTAATAAACTAATCTTATATTTATCTGATTTGTTTTGAACTCTCTTGAGAAAATCTTGGGCTTTTATTTTATTTTGTGTTTAGTTTTGTTTACTGCTTACTCTCTTCCCTCCATAAAATTCTTTTCCGTTTATTTTTCAGCCTTGTTTCTCCTCCCAGTCTCTTTTTACTTCATCACATCCATTTTCTGCAAAAGCAGCCTTAGTTAAAATCTTATGTGTCCTAGGAGAAAAACTTGGCAAGTAAATGACACCAAGACACATCTGACCCTCGACAACTGAAAACTTTAGTTAACGGCACCACGAAGGAGGAGGACGTGTGTTTAAAACTGTGCCACTGAAACAGGCTCAGAGACGTGAAGCGGCTCGGCCAAGGCCACACAGCTAATAATGGATGGAACTACAGTAACTCTGAGCCCTGAGCTGGCTTTGAAGCCTGTGCTCCTGGTCAGACATGTCATCGAAGGGAGCAGAATGGGGACCCCAGATTGCTTCCACTTTTGCTCTTCATGATCTTGTACAAACTCTGAGCATCAAGTTCTTGCACTGGTAAGAGAACCTCCATAATTTGTCAGGGCGATTTGCCGTGTCCTCATAATCTGTTTCGATAGCTCTGCATGGCATGCCCACACATAGAGCAGCATTAGGGGACACTTTTATCTTTCAGTGCACATCTTTGTAAGCTCAAATGATTTTTCATGTTCTGCTCAGTCTCTAAAAGGAAATTAAATGAACGCTAGATGGCAGTCAAGGCTCAATGTTTGGGGTGTGTCTCGTGGGAACCATGTACTTGTACATAAAAGTCGTGGAGGGCTCCATGTACTGATTACCCAGAACTGGACACAGTCTTTGCATTCCTTCAGCCTGACCACCTCCTCAAGCAGAAATTTAACTGCTAGAGACATGGGATTGAGAGCCTTTGAATCAGAACAACATGGCTTTGAAAACTGGCTCTCAAAATTAGTAGCTTTACATGTCTGGAAATCACTCAAATCATGTCATTCTCTTATCATCAAGATATACATGGAAAAATTCCTGGTATAACTTAAAGCCATTCCTTCTTGTCATGCAGTGGGGTGGAGTATGGAGGGCAGCCACAGAGCCGTCTGGCTGTCCTGTCAGCGCGGTTGCATGTTGACGATGAGGTGCCTTCAACCCCAGGCTGCTGCAGAGACGCAGTCCTTCCAGTGCACTTCCACAGCTACCAAGAGGAAATGCATCTCTTCTACAATTCCTTATGAAATAACCTCACAATAAGGCATGCTGTATCTTCTTGGTAAGTTTCTGGATAGGGCATATTCTGTTTTTCTGTTCCTTTCTTCTCCTGGGAACCTCCAGTAATCCATAGAACATACTACAGTCTAGGGAGGGTGGCTCATGGAGACCGTAGTACCAGGACAGTGCCAGAAGAAGATAATTTATTTGCTGATTTAATTCAAAGTGGGAAATAATTTTCATTTCCAAGAGGACATAAGCACTTGGGAGACAGAGGCAAGAAGTGAGTTAGAGGCCAACCCCTAGGCTAGTCAGGGCTGTGTAGTGAAACCCTGTCCCAGAGGAAAAGTAAAAGTAAAAAGAAATCCCCCAGTCCCTGAAGGACATTGAAGTGTCCATCTTGTGGTCATGATATAAGCACAGGGTCACAGAAAAACAGATCTCCCCTAGAGATGACATGTTCATCTAAGAGACCCCAGATGCGCTGTATGCTGTGTAGGAGGACCCTACACAGGAAAGGTGAGGTGACATCACAGGGTTTTCCAAGGTCACTTCGCAGAAGTACACATCTTGGAAAAGTGAAAGCTCCCACATGTATCAGTTGGCACTGGCGCAGAGCTTACACAGGGCATCACACCAGAGATTCTTGATGATGTTTCTGGGATGTTGTGATAATTCATCTTCGGTGTCAACTTCAAGGGACTTCCAACTGCCTAGCCGACACCTCTGGCACAAATGTGAGGCTGTTTCCAGAGATGCCTCACTGAGGAGAGAAGACTCACCAAGTGTGGACAGTACCGTTCCAGTGACTGGGGTCCCAGGAGGAACACAATGAGGACAGGGAGCTGAATGGCAGCATCCATCTCTGTCTGCTTCCTGACTGTGTATATGATACTGTCACCATGTTTTCCCTGCCACGATGGCCTGGACCCTCCCACCAGGAGCCCAAATAAACCTTTCTTTCCTTAGTTTCCTCTTTTTGTGTATTTTGTCATAGCCCAGAGATGTAAATGGGATTGTTTCTTTAGTCTTGCCAAGATAATCAACAGTGCTATGGAGGAAAACTAGAAACAGAAAAATGAAATAAAAATAATGTGCTTTTGTTTTAGTTCACTACACACATTTCTAGTGCTTTTTCATTCCACCAATGATTATCCAAATAACTCGGACCATTTATACTTCCCTCACCCCAGACAACATCTCTCTATGTTGCCTAGGCTGTTTCAAATTTATGATTCTCTTGCCTTGGCCTCTCAAGTACCAGGATTACAGACATTACCACTACGTGTTACATCTTTCGCTTTCTCTCGCTCCCTCTTTTTTTTTTTTTTTTTTTTTTTAAGACATGGTCTCACATAGACCAGGCTGGCCTCAAATTTACAATGTAGTCGAAAATGACCTTGAACTTCTGATACTCCTGACTCCGTGTCCCAAGTTCTGGGATTATAACTGTGGGCCTCCCACGCTTGGTTTATCTAGTACTGAGAACTCCAGGCTTCATGCATGCTAGGCAAGCACTCTACCAACTGAGCTACCTAGCCTCACATCATTCTCCTAAGACTTATCTCAGTCTGCACATGCCATGAATAGGCCAACCCTAGGGTTCCCAGACAATGAGTTCACCCTGGTATGAATGATAACTTTCTACTGTAGAGAACACTCATTCAAATTATGGTGAACCAGGGAAGGGAAGAGAAATTGAGACCAGAGGACACTGAAATTAGATAAGTGTATTGTCCTAACAAGAGCTTTTATTGCCTTTTGTCTTTCTGTAGGATGAGGATTTTTTTTTTCTTTCATGAAGCAGTGGTCCCTCAAGCTGGGGATCCTACATGCCCGACACTTCCTGTCTGTTCTCCACCAACTTTTTCAGACTTCCTTCTGTTGTGTTTGTCTCTCTCAAGGCGTGTATGCTCAAAGCTATCCTAGCAGTACCTGGTAGTGGAAGAAGCCCAGTAGTAATGCTAACAATGGAAGCAATAGCAGTGATAGCAATGATAGCTAACGTTTATCAAGGACTTACAATGTCAGGCTATAGATCTCTTTGTCCTGCTATAACAGACTACAGGCATCTGGATTATTTGTGAAGAACAGAAATTTATTTCTCCCATATGAGTCAAAGACAGGCACCTGAGGGGGCAGAGCAGGGAAGAACAAATTGCTGAGAGCTGCATAAATCTCTTTTTTTTAAAAAAAAGATTTTATGTTTATTTATGTGTATATCTCTCTGCATGTATATGCACATGAATACAATGCCCAAGGAGACCAGAAGAGTTTCAGGAACTTCCTGGGTTTTATTTACTTCCTGAGTCTTATGAATTTCCCTCCTCTCTTAAGGAGGGAGTGCTTCAATCTGAAGGAAATTCTACACTACAGGAATGAATGGGAATAAGTTTGTCTCTTAGAAAAATCAAGTTCTGGTGCAGTGGGTCTTCAGACTTTGGGAACATCCCAACACCCTCAGAAAATGTACCCAAGAACACATAAAAACAGTTCCACATGCAATGTTCCAGTTTCATGGATCTCTACAGTATATTAATTGACCTCTTTTATAATAAAAGGAACCAATAGTAACCAAGCCATTACTTCCGTTTTAAGTAGAGTTGTGTAAGAGACAACCCATGTAAGAAGGGGTCCCCAGACAATGCAAAGGTTTCCTTACAGTGAATTTATTTATCATTGGATAGGGAGGTAGAGTTTGAGACTTGATGGCTTCTAACTTGACCTTGTATTTATCCTCTCAATTAATTTCAGTTGGAAAATTAGAAACTTGAGTTGTAAGAGCTAGTGCAACCCTAATATTACTATATATGTATATTTATGTATCCTTGATGTCTCTGTATACATACACACACATACACACACACAAACACATATACACACATATACAGTATCTTATAGTTACCTTGATTGTTGGTGTAAAAACAATCATTGGTTGTAACTTCCCTGTGGACTAAAGCAGTCTGTTGTTTAGTTTTAGAGATGACTATAGTCAACAAGTGTGGTTCACCAACTCCTGAAAAGCTTTTGCCTTAGCTAAAACACAAAGGCTCCCAGTACCACAAACAGAATAAAGACACTGGGAGGTGCCACTGGTAAGGAGAAGGATTGAGAATGGCAGGTGAATGTGGAAAACCACAAGGAATGAGCTGCAAGAACAAGTCCTTTGATGATGAGGTGGCCTACAGGAGGATTGCTGATATGTTGACTAGGAAACACCCCACACCAAGACAATGACCCATTGCACCACACACACCAACAAGTGGAGTCTTAAAGATAGCCTATAAGTAAAGTTCTGGGGCAGAGAATTCCATTATAAGAGACAATTAATGTTTCTCTGCTGATCATATTTAAGCCTAAAATGTTACTTAATGACTAAGCTGGGAAATGAAGTTACTGACTGCTTAAATGATGGAAGGTAGGTGGTGGGCAAAGGAGAGGGAAAGCGACTTGGAACTGAGGGTAAGCTTTAGAACTTGAGAAAGTTTTCATTCTGATGCCTGTGGGTATTGATGTCAGGCATCTTTCCCTATTGTAATGGGAAATAAGAGACAAAGCCAGGAAAAGAAATGAGCCATTTGTTCTCCAGAAAGTACTTGTTCCTGGAATATCAAAACAACAAACAAAGTTTTACAAGGAAAATAGCTTTTTCATTGAGATTCAGCTGAGACCATCACCAAATCCTGTCCATCTATCCAAATATGTCATTAACTCTGCCCAACAACAAGCAGTTGCCCAGTTTCCAAAGCCTCCAACACTGTGCCATGACTGTTTCCTTCTGACTTCCGTCTTCTGGAACTTTCTATCTATGAAGGTGGAGTTGGCTCCTACTATCCACAGTAGGTTTAGTTGACCTAGCTTTACATAGCAATGGTTTTTTTTTTCCTTACAAATAATTGTGTGTGTGTATGTGTGTGTGTGTGTGTGTGTGTGTGTGTGTGTGTGTGTGTGTGTGTGTGTGTGTGTGTGTGTGTAGGTCAGGGGCTGATGTTGGGGGTTTTCTCAATTGCTTTTCACTTTATTTTTTTGAGGTATATTCTTTCCCTGAACTGGGGGCTTGCTGATTGAGTTAGGCTGGCTAGCAAGCCCCAGGCATCCTCCTGTCTCTACTCCTCGGCACTAGGATTACAGGTGCATGCCAGTGTGTCTGGCATTGCTGCATGCATTCTGGGGATTTAACTTGAGTCCTTGTGCTTATGCAGCAAGCACTTTTCTGACTGGAATATTTCCCTAACCACCGAGAAATAGGGTTTTCTGTTGTTTTTCTTTGTTTTGTTTTATTGTTGTCTGGTAGCTGACATGTCAAGAAATACTGCTCTCATGTGCAAAACTAAGTATACCTCATCTTGTTAGAAACAAATCCCTTGTAGTGTATCAAATTACCTTTACATTTTGAAGACTGGATTGACTGTTAAGATTATCTTCAAAAGATTTTATTTTAATTTTTAATTATGTGTATGTATGGGTGTCTGTGTGGGGCTATCTGTACATGATTGCACCAGACACCCTTGAGCTGGAGTTTTAGGTGCTAGTGAACCTACCTGCCATGGGTACTGGGAAATGAACTCTGGTCCTCTGCAAAAGCTTGTGTAGAGTCATCTCTCCAGCCCGTGAGGATTTTTTTTTCAAGAATTCTTTAATTGTTTTTACCTTTGAAAATTCAAAACATTCACTGAAACCTTCTTTTCCATACCTGTCCCTACTTAGCTCTTTCCCACCTCTTCACATCACCCTCACTGGGAAGCAGAAGCGAGTGGACAGAAACCAGTGGATTTTGAAGCTACGTTCTTCAAGGAGAGTAGAAGGAACTGTGGCCTTAAACTCATTCCAAATGTCTTTTGTGTGAATGGCTCCTGATTTCCTTAGGGACAGGGCAGGTGTAGGATGTGAACAGACACCCTTCACCCAAGTAAGCGTGTGGCTGGTTACACTCGGACAGAGGAGTTGAAGGAAGCAAGCAGGGTGTGACAGTTTAGTGTAATGAACCTCCCAGAGGCTGGCTCTGATGCCAAGGCTGCTGATGTCCAGGTGGAGAAACTTTTGGTCCTTGCAGGCTTGGGGAGATTTCTGGAAGTTTCTAGATGCATCCTTATCGCACTAGACACTGTCAGCTGCTCAGGGTAGGCAGATGTAAGCCTCACCATCTGTAAACAGAAAGGCTTGTCTGTTCCAATTCCTCAGGGTGAAGTTGGACACTGAGCTCTTAGAGAAAAGCATGTGTTTCCTTGAATTGGTGCACTTCGTCTTGGAGGGAAACTCCTGAAGACGCAGGATGTTCTAAATCAGCAGTTTTCAACGTGCGGTTTGAGACTCCCTGTTTCACAGACCAAATATTTACATTACAATTCACAACAGTAGTGAAATTACAGTTATGAAGTAGCAACAAAATAATTTTATGGTTGGGGTGTGTCACAACTCTGAGGGGAAAGGTTTCCCTTATATAATTGTTACAGCTCTGAAAGGAAAGATACCCAGGCAGTTGGGAGCCAAGGAATACTACAAAGTCACACCACACAACAAACCTCATACAAGAGATTTACTCAGAGACACACGAGGGTGGCTGCCTCTACTTGTGTGAGAAGCAGCCAAAAACCGAGCAGGAGGCAGGCTTTATATAGGGTTTCTGGGGTGAGGGTCGGGGTAGAATTTTCCAGGGTGGAGATTTCCATGGTGGGGATTGGTGGAATTTCAAGCTCAGGGACTGATGGGTTTTGGTAGGTTTTGAAACCCAGAAGTGGGCTCTGACCTTTTACCCTATATGGGGGTCACTGTTGGATATGCACTGGCACTCGTGGCGGCGATGCCAACAGAGGAGAGTGCTGGTCAGAAGAATCACAAGCCATGGTTATCTTTTTAGAGCTTTATTGGGAGGGAGAGAGGGAGAAGGAGAGGGAGAGGGAGAGGGAGAGGGA